ACATTAACATCGTCGTAGAATCAAATACAATAATGACAAAACAACAACAATTGTCGACTTCTCCACTAACTTTAAGAGAGAGAAAAAAACATTTATGTCTCTCCGACCATGCAAGAAGCTTCCATTACGGTTTATATAAAGAAGAGGAGTCTTAAGAAGAAAGAGGGCTCAAAACGAACGGACACGTTCTACATATATAAGAGAACTCCTAAAGGAGAAGAGGGGTATTCATGCAATACTCCTTGTCCTCTAACAACACCAAATATAAGCAATACCTTATATCACATGAACTACAAAAAAGTTCTCAAATTACTTTCCGAATAGATCCACATCGGTCATCTCCTATATTCTTGTTAAATCACACGCAAACTAGTATACACTTGCATATAAGAGCCTTTTCGAGCTAATTCGCCTCCTTCGATTGCTAACTTGAGTGTCGGAGGATCGTTCATCCAATCATAAAAACATATTTTACACGTATATGATATAAGGTGACTATAGTTCATACTCCATAAATGATCACCGGTAGCCACCACCATCATGAACCATATGTTATAAATTTGTTAGATGAGTCAAACGATGACTCATTAATCGGTGCTATCTCGTGGAAATCTAAGTAGAAAACCAACTAGATTCCTTATACCTTTCTATTTTCCCCCCTAAAGTGTATCTAGGTTCAAGCTTGATAGAACAAAGGAAAGTTCCTAAACATGTTACCCCTTCTAACTTTGTTTGTCCCAAAACCTAGCTTGTGGACATCATCCAACTAAACAACATGTTTAAAATCTTAAGGAGGCATTCTTGATAGCTCAAGCATAAATCAAAATGCTTGGCTCAAAGCCTTAGATGCTTGTATGCCTTTCACCTTTAGATACTTCAATACCCTTGTGCACCGAACATCATGTTGAAAAAGCCTTCTCCTCTTCCTTCACAAGTTGATGAGGCCCTTGCATATGCCAATGCCAAAAAAGGAAAATAAGATTATCATGTATCTCTAGAATAACAAAAAGTCATGCACATTACATGAAAAAAGAACTAGCGATGCAAGAATCTTGTAAAGAAAAAGAAAATGAGAAAGGTTTGAACATCACCATAACCATGATAAAACACTTAGAGTCACCAAAGGATATCGAAAAATACATCATTAATGGTCTTTCTTGTTAGGAAAATTGCATGTAAGTCTAGAGTTCAAGTGCTATCATGTAGAAAAAAGGCTTGAAGTCTCTTCTTGTTCATGCATAGATTATTGTGAAGATAAGCTCTACATGTTGTACTTCGCTCCATGCATCCTCAATGCCAAGCTTTTCAAAGAGTTTCTCTTAAGTAAGATGAACCTAAATATGTACGATGATTCAATCGAGCTTGGAGAACACATGTAAAAAGTAAGAGGAACTCTCGAACTTGTTTTACATGGACTTATGCTATTTGCAAAGCACTCTCAACAACCTTTCCGAGTATTACTAGAAGGTGGTATAATAGTTTAGACCCTAAGTCTATTATAAACTTTATGGATCTCAACTCTAAGCTTATTGCCTAGTTCTCCACCAACATTCTTGTTAAAAGAAGTTCGATTGATCTTTTATCCATTATGCAATAAAAAGAAGAAAGGGCCTAAATAAATATCTTTTAATTCTATAAAGAGATGCTAAAAGAAAACGGTCTATTAAAACCGAGTAGCCATAAAGGTCCTCATAAAAAGGGTCGGTGACACCGAATTAGGGGAAAAGATCTATGCTCTTCTTCACTAAAACCTATACTAAATAAAGAAGCTAGTTGAAAACCACATCAAGGTAGATAAAGCAATTATCATAAAGGAGATGCACCTCTAATTCTAGAGATCAACCGATAGATCAAAGGAGAAAAAATCATCATTCTTTTGTATATATTCGAAGAAAAACCTAAAAGGGCTCGTACACAATCACCTTGTATTCCCTAAGGTCTAGATTACTCCTACCAATACAACCTAGACAAAAGGTGTTTGTAGCCATTTAGGTAAAACATTCATAAATCGCCCTCCACAAGGTCCTTTTTACTTGAGAGACTTGAAGAAATATTGTCTTTATCATAAAAAACATGAGCATGACGTCAAAAAATGCTACTCCTTAAATAAGAGATTTAAAGATGTGATCACTAGGGTTTACCTTAAAAGATTCTTGAGGGATGACCCTAACCATCATAATAATGAATCTTAGTACTCTCAAGATGACTTGTCAAAAATTGTCATCATCTTATTAGGAGAACCCGAGCTAAGACCAACCCCGCATCGGATAAACCAAAGGAAGTATGGTCCTAACTACGACTTTAGTAGTAATGTCATGGCACTAGTCTATAATCTTCATGCTAGAAAAACTTAATTGGGGTTATTATTCTATCGATGATGCTCTAGTCATCACTACTATAATTTTTGGACATGAAGTCTTTCACTTCTTGATAAATAATAGGAGTGTAGTGAATATCCTCTCTAAAAAGACTTTCAATCTAATAGGATTGAAAGTATCCCTACTTTTAAACCCACAATTGCACCAATAATGAGCATATAAGGAGAACAAGTGCTTGTAGAAGGAATAGTGCAACTGCATGTCAAGTTATATGCTTGGCATACAAAGCCATCTTTAGGAGACCTTTGTTGCACTTATGGCCATGCTCTTAAAGTTAAGTTTTTAAATTTTTTTGTTAGTTTTACGGATCTCTAAATTTTTAGTTTTTTTTTAGACTTAGCCCATCATTCATTTTTTTATACTTCATCTCAAAAAATAACAATCACATAAATAGTTTAATGATAGAAATCATTTAGTGAGATTTGAGTGGAGCTTCTAAAAAAATTAGAATCATTATGGGTTATTTTCTATTTTTTCTATATTTTTAATGTTTAAAAAATAAAAAATATATTTTTTAAATTTTGATAAATTCTAAATTGTTTTTCTACAAAATGGATTGAATTTTTTTTTCTAGCGTGAGTGCAAAATTTTAATTTAAAATATCAAGAATTAAATTTTTTTGAGGGGAAGATAATAGTTGGATATCATGATGGACTAAATCTTAAAAAGAAAAAAATAAAATAAAAGTTCAAGAACCTTCAAAATTAATAAAAAATTTAAAAATTCAACTTCCAATAACTTAAAGTTGAAGAGTAGTTAGACCTTTTTAGCTTTTTTTTTTTTTTTTTAAAGAATATCTTATGATCAATTTGTTTGTCAATTCAATTGAGTCATCATATATATAAGATACAAAATCTTATCATATATATTAAATCATTTTTTATAATTAGAAATTTATCAACTAATATATATAGAATTTTTTTTTATAAGACAAAAACTAAAATTCAAAATCTCTTGAAAAAAGAGGAAATAGGTGGTGACAAGAGACAAAATTTATGGAAAAAAGATTTTGTTAAAAATAAAAGAACAATTTATGCAAGCACTATTACTGTAAATTTCAGTAGTCAAATTTAAGTTTTCCTCCTAATTTACTTCCGTGAAGGATACTCCACGAAGATAAAATTATAAGTTTGGGCACGCATGTAGAAGATAGGATCGACAAATAAAAAAAATAATAACAGTAATAAAATAACAGTTGAGTGGATCCATGCCCTTGACTTTGGAGAGAAGTGGATCCGTGTCGACATGATTTCACGGGCCCTTTTGGCAGGCACCACATTATTATTATTATTATAAATAGGATGCAGTAGTAGTCATAGTAAAGTTTTAAAAGAAAAGTAGTAGGAACTATTCTTGACGTAATCAGTTACATAACCCCTTCGGGTCGGTCAATTCTTATTGAATATTTGCTTTTTACGAAAGGGAAGGGAAGGGAAGGATGGCTTCGAAGTTAGAAGATGTAACGGGGCCCACACTCACAGACATTGAAATTGGCATTATATGCGAGTGTCATGCCACTTCATCACGAACGTCACTACTTTCGTCCTTTCCTCGGGACTGGTCAAACCAGCAGTTTCGTAGACGAAATGAGGAGCTCTATTTCCGCCTCCTCCGTTTTAGTAGAACAATAAAATAATGCGAGTAAATTATAAAGATTCCTTCTTATTTTAAAAACCCTTAATTATGGCCGACTGATGCATCCCCTTTCAAGTTAGGTTTCTCTTATTCCTGAAAATTAATTTCGACGGTGATTTCTCTATGTTAGATATTTTATTTGGAGACGAACTTTTATAATATTTAAATAATAATTAGTATAAATTATATTAATTATTAGTATTATAAATGGACACCATCTTCGAGTTGCTTGCAATACAAAAAAGTATTTATTATATACTTTTTACTCTAGATTATCACACTATGGAGGTTTTGGTCCTCAAAGATACTATTTTATTAGTCAACACACTCCAACAATTAGTGCTTTATTGAAGGTGAGGCTAAATGACTGATTAATACTGTCTATTTGTCGCGCTCTAATTGAACTAGTTACTCATAATGTAGGAAAAAAAAACTTTATAGATTATCACTCATACGATAATTTTAATGTTTTTTGAAATTAAAATAATTAATTTGTAATTTACTCAAAAATATTAGTATACCAATAAAATCATTTATCGGTACAACTTTCGAAACAACCATGTAAATATTAGTTTACTATTATTTGTAGCATGTGTCCATCAATTATTGTACTTTTGTGTTGCATTATATAAAATATTCCATTCTCCATTCTCTTTGAGTGGTTGACAAGGCTCCTTTCCCCTCCTTTAATTTATGTGCCTGTGCTCCTTGATGTTAGTAAGCAGCAACATATCCGACACAAATTTTAAAAGAATATCATTTTCTTTTTCCTTTCTTTGCCCATAAAATTAATGAAAAAATCTGTCCCAATAAACTCTTTTGATTTCCTTTTCCATGAAAGTTGTTCTGGTCATAGCTCCTCCCCTCTATATAAAGACTTTTTCTCCTCCTCTCCCTTTCCGCGAAACTCTCTCATTTCAACACGCTCTCTCTTCTCGAATTTCTTGTATTCAAAAACATCGTTACTCTTACGATAATAATAAATCCATGGCTACTTGTATAGACACCCCAAGAAAAGACAGTACCTCTCAACTTTCTCGCAATCCAAATAGGTCTCCGTCAGATGATCATGCCTACAAGTACGCGAAGTTTTGCAGACCCAATACTCATGTTTCTTGTACACCCTTTTCCAGGAATCACACAAAAACCATCAAGAAGCCTCCTGTCGTCGTTGATGATTTTGATCAACAGAAGAGCTTATGGCTTCAAATGAAAGAAGAAGCAAGGTTAGATGTTGAAAAAGAACCAATATTATCCACCTACTACTTCACCTCCATTTTGTCTCAAAAGTCATTAGAAAGAGCGTTGGCTAATCTTCTCTCTATAAAGCTAAGTAATGCTAGTCTTTCTAGTACCACTCTTTTTGACCTTTTTGTTGGGGTCCTTGAAGAGAGTCCTGAAATCATTAGAGCTGTAGAGGAGGATTTGAGAGCTGTTGAAGAGAGGGATCCAGCATGCATAAGCTACGTTCACTGTTTCTTGAATTTTAAAGGCTTCCTAGCATGTCAAGCACATAGAATCTCACACAAGTTATGGTCACAAGGTAGACAAATTCTAGCTCTATTGATACAAAATAGAGTATCTGAGGTTTTTGCAGTTGATATCCATCCAGGGGCAAAGATTGGACAAGGAATATTACTTGATCATGCCACAGGAGTAGTTGTTGGAGAGACTGCTGTGATCGGAAACAATGTTTCAATTTTGCATAATGTGACTTTAGGGGGTACTGGTAAGGCATGTGGAGATAGGCATCCAAAGATTGGCAATGGGGTGTTGATTGGGGCTGGAACTTGTATTCTGGGAAATATTAGGATTGGTGATGGGGCCAAGATTGGGGCTGGTTCTGTGGTGTTAAAGGAAGTACCACATAGAACTACTGCAGTTGGGAACCCAGCTAGGTTGGTTGGAGGGAAGGAGAATCCAACAAAACTTGATAAGATTCCTAGTTTCACTATGGATCATACTTCACATATATCTGAGTGGTCTGATTATGTTATTTAGATGAGTTTTTCTTGGCTATGAATTTTTAGATTTGGGAGTTTTTATTTGTTTGCGTTGTGAGTGAGAATTGAAGTTCTCCAGCTATTAGCAAACAGAGTAGGCTCTGTTTTCACTTTATGTAGTGATATGTGGTATATGTATTGCCTTGAAATATGGTATTCAAGAGCACATCCGCTGTAAGTACAAACCAAATCAATCAATCTTTTTGTTTCTTTTAGCTAGTTCTCTTCTAATTTTAGTGGTTTTACAAACTTAATCTCGTTTTTATTTTGCTTACCTCTTGGCGCGACACCTTTCTGTTTTGTTGTCTCTGTTTCTGGCATTTTTTTTTTTTTTTAAAAAAAGAAGCTTCACCATCTAATGTGTGATTGTGTGTGGAATGCAATGGTAGTTAGTATCAATATACCAGTTCTTCAAAGATTTTTTGTCATCATTTTCCATGAAGATTTGGAGAATGATCGGGTGTATTTACAAACTACAACAAGTGGTTTTAATTGTTTTTTTATTCACTCTTCACCCTTCCAAGCATTGAAATGAAGGACACGGATAAAGGTATTTCTGCTCTGGGCAATGATCTATTTCTTGTATGCCCATTAATTGATTGGGCACGACTGGTGTACCTGGGAGGGAGCTGAAGCTGGGAGGACTGGAAGGTAACTGAAGTAAGTGGTTTTGGCAAGTGTGTGGATAAGATGGATGCTCGAAAAAGTGCCTTTGCATTTTGCACGTAATTAGCGGTCGTAGTTCAAATAGGCAATGACGCACGAGTACGAGTTCTAGAAACAATAAATGACTGCATTGGCTTTATTCCATGTTCAAAAAAGAAAAAGAAAAAAAAAAAAAAGAAGAAGAAAAAGCATGTATTCCACAATGTAGCATTGATGTCCAGATGGGAGAAGCACAAGTAGGCCTTGTCGTTGTTGTTATTTATGCAAGAAGACATCATCATTGCTGCAGCCTCAGATAGTGAACGGTGGAAATAGCAGAAGCTTAAGTTGTCAGGATTCAAGATGGTTGGTCTATCATCCGTGTATAGATCTAACGACATTGGCCTCCATTGCATTCATCTAGAAATGCAATCTAGACCATATGACGAAGCTGCAAGGTCAGCAGATCGGATTGGAGCCTCCTGCAGGCTGCATTTGTGGACCGGTAAATCTGTTATTATCATGAGTTAAGGATTTCGTTAAAGGTCAATTAACAAAAAATCAATTATTTTTTTCTTGTTCACGTTTCGATTATTCCATGGAAAACCTCAATAAGCAAGCAGAGATGGAAGGCAGTTATTCAAGAAAGAGTTCATGTGGTAAATTTGGCAACTTCGAGGCATTCAATTCCTCATGTGCTCAATGATTTTCTTGATTCTTTTTATGTGTACTAATCACTCGAGGAAGTTTTGCTCTCTGGGATCAAATCTAATCATCCTGTTCTTGGTTGTAATGGTTTTTTGTTGCCTATTTTGCTTGCTCTATTTTCAGTGATAACTCCGCAGTTTGTTCTACTCTTCTTTAAAGAGTGATTGTTGATCACTGCCTGATCAGTGTAGCATTCTCTAGTCAATTTCCTTATTTGCTTTTGGTAAAATTAGGATCTGTCTAATCTGCCTACGTTTGTTGGAACTAGTTTTGCTGGATCTTAATGAATGATTTTCATATACTGAGATTAGATCTGTTATGCTGAAGGCTGAAGCTTTATCCAAGAGAAATTAGAAATTTACATGGGTTCTCTTTATCTAGAGATGGCCCACGTGGTGCCGGGTACAAAATGAGTTTACCCATTAAATACGCATTAAGATTAAAATATTAAAAGAACAAAACTTTAAAGGAAAAAAAAAAACGTGAGCAGTAGCATCGGAGCACCACGGCAGCCGAGCAGCGCCATCACCGTACGTGCCTTCACTCACCATCCAACCTGAAGGTACTATTCTTCTTCTTTCAAAATAGTATGTTCTCTTTTTTTTACTCTATATTTAAACCTTGAGGCCAACACTAAGTCTATGTAGAGACACGTCCTTAAAATCGTCTAGCGAAGAAATTAGTCTTGGTTGACGAGCAATCTGATCTAAAAATATCCTTTTCATAGAATTAAAAAAAAAAAAAATCAAGATTAAGCAAAGGATTATTAGTTATACAGTATAATCTAGGAAAGTAAAATTTATATATACACTATTTGGTATGCTCCATGCTCAACAAGGCATGTTCTAAATATTTGTTTACCTCAATTTAATTAGTATGTCTATCTATCAGGACCTTTTCATTGTTGGGACAGAGACATCATCTACTAGAATGGGCAATGCCTGAGATGCTAAAACGCCTTAAAGTGATGGAAAAGGCTTAAGCAGATGTACGAGAGGTGTTTGGTAAAAATGGATATGTTGATGATTTAGATTACTTGAAGATGGTCATCAAAGAAACTATGAGATTACACCCTCCTCTCCCTTTGTTAATTCCAAGAGAATGTCGAGAGGAATGTAAGATTAACGGATATAATATTCCCATTAAATCCAGAGTCCTAGTTAATGTATGGGCAATTGGAACGGATTCCAATATTGGGTTGAAGCTGAGAGATTTAATCCAGAGATTTAATTTTGAGTTCACCCCATTTGGTGCTGGAAGAAGGATGTGTCCAGGCATTCTATTCGGTATAACTAACGTTGATCTTCTACTAGCAAATTTGCTCAACCATTTTCATTGGAAGCTTCCCAGTGACATGAACCAGAAAGTCTAGACATGTCTGAAGCTTTTGGTGCCACAGCCAGAAGAAAAAATGGTCTGCAAATTACCCCTATTTTGCACTATCCTCTTCCTGTTAGATGAAAATCACAAGGAAAATTATCTTGAATCTGCTAGTTACGTTACCTTATAATGACAAAAAAAAAAAATAATAATAATAATAAAAAAATAAATATATAAAAAATTGTTTGTTTTTCAATGTTACCCTGGTCTACAAGGTTGTTTTCAGTGGTTACCTGTACTAATGAATTGAGTAAATGTTATCCTTAACGTTACCTAACACTTTTAATGCTCAAATAGCTGCAGGGTGGGCTGGATATGCTATTAATTTAAGTTATTGATGTAGAAACTTAAGACAGTGTGTGTAGAAATGCATGGGAACCACTATAAAATAAACATTGACTTGTAAATCCTGAATTATTATTTCTATTTTTTTCTAATTAAGAGAACAGTAGACATATAATTCCTTGCCATTTGGTGATGTCGACAAATTATATATCTATAACTATGTATAAAATCACCAACTACTTAAAAACTTTTGATTAACTATTATATTCTTAATATAATACTGCCATTATAATATGTGAATTCAATCACGTCTCTAATTAAAAAATAAAAAATAAAAATAAAACTCTTTTAAAAAATATATTAATTCACTATTATGAAATAATAAACGTCCATCATCATGTTGATCTATTTTTCATATCCCAATTACTCATGATTCTTAATATGATTCAATTCATCATTCAATATGAGAAATTGAAAAGGTGATGTAATTGATTATTCATAGTCCCTTCCAATTCTCTCCTTAATTTTGAAGCCTATAAATAGGCTTGATTGTTCATTAGTTGGTATATAAGTTTCCTAGAGAGAATAAGAGAAACTTTAAAGTTCTTATCACTTATATTCACATTATAGTGATTTCATTTTCTTATCATCCATTTCTTCAATTCTCCTATTATTTCTATTTATTTTATAACACGTTATCGATACGAAGCTCTAACCAATCGAGATAATAGACCATGAGGTATGTATCTATTAAAAGATTTAATCAATTGTTTCAACAATTGGATTTCTTCTCTCAAGTGCTCTACCAAAAGATCTAAATTATTTAGATCATTAAAAGGTATGTATCTAATTTATTCATGTACTTTAAATCTATTGATACATGAAATATATATTTGAAAAACTTTAGTGATCTACTAATGATCTAATATATGTTATTTGAAAAGCTTTAATTTTATTATTATATTTTCCTTATTTTCTAATATTATTATTATATATTGTATTATAGAATTTTTATCATATCAAACCTCATAAACTTAATTTGGTGACTCTTGATATTTTGAATAAGAATTATTAATTATGAGTGCTTGATTTTGAAAAAATATTCTCTACTTTTTATATCTTGGATATGCTCCCGTAGTAGCATATCGAGAAAAAGAGTTTAAGACATATTTTGAATCGATTTTATACTTGTTAGTGGCTCAATAAAATGAAAAAGAATAAATCTCATCAAATTGGATCTACTCCATTCCCCGAAGTGAATGTGATAATTTATAATAATTTTAAACATGGATGAAGATGTGGTCATAGCCATGGATATGATCGAAATAATTATCATTATAATCGTAATGACCATAATATTATATCTCACCACCCGAAGTGGATAGCTATGAAAAAATAAATAGATAAAGTTAGTAGTTTGAAAAATAAATATTATAGATGTGGAATGAATGAATATTGATCGTGTACCTGTCGTATACCAAAGCACCTCATTGAGGCTTGTCAAGCCTTATTGAAAAATAAATAGTAAAATATGAAGGCCACTTTTATATATCAAAGTAATAGTAATTGAAATTAATTACTTGTTAGTTTTTCTATTTATAAATAAAATGTTTTATATTTCTTATAATTTATGTCGTATATTGATGATTACAAATTTATTTTACTATTTATTTATTTGTTTGTGTTTATGAGGAATATATTGATTTATTTGATTATTTATTTTATGTTAATATTATATATGATAATATCAATCTAATAGAAAGCTCTAGAAGAGCAACCGTATTATTATCTAAATAGATAGATTTTGAAGGCTCTAGAAGAGCGATTATATCATGACTTGAAGAGATAAATTTTTGAAGTTCTAGAAGAATGAATAAATTATTACTTGAAGAGAAAATGTTTAAAAGCTCTAGAAGAGTCGATATATTATTACTTGAAGTGACTAATTTAAAGGTTCTAGAAGAGCAAATATGTTATTATCCGAAAGGATAAATTTATTACGAATGATGTACTATTCTCTTAAAAGTCTCATAGAAATTTGTTGAGTTTCAAAGATATTCATCTGAATTGATATCATATCAAGATAGAAAATGTGAATACTTATATGTTATAATTATTATATCGGGTAGAAAATATCTATAAAAAAAAATTATCCATTTTCTCTTCTAGTCTTTATTACAAACATTGAAATGATTGAAACAAATATTGTAATAAATCGAAGTTGACTAATTCAAATATTTTTACTATGTGACATGACTAGTTGTGTTATCTTAGGTCTTTCATGATGTAAAAAAAAATTATTAAAAAATTTATATGAATATTTATTGAAGAGCCGGAAGATTCTTCAATTTAATGAACTTTTATGTTCCGCATATTGCCAAGACAAATTGATGATTAAGCCATCATCAAGTAAAATTGAGAATGAATCTCTAGTATTTTAGAATGTATTCAATGTGATATATGTAGATCAATTCATCTACCATATGGATCATTTAAATATTTTACGATTTTGATAAATGTATCCACAAGATGATCACATATATGCTTATTATCTACTCGAAACTTGGCGTTTTCGAGATTGTTAGCAAATAATTTGATTTTGAGCATAATTTTCAAATTATGCCATTAAAATAAGTCACCTTGGTAATGCCGATGAATTTATTTCTCAAGCGTTAAATTATTATTGATTGGCTATTAAAATAAAGGTTGAACATCCCGTTGCTCATGTTCATACTCAAAAAGATTTAGCAAAATCATTTATCAAAAGGCTCAAATTTATAGCTAAACCATTATTTAAAAATAAAACTCCCCGTTTATATTTGGGGATATGCAATCTTACATGCAACAACACTTATTCGCATATGACCCATAAGTTATTAGAAATTCTCTCATCTTCGGTTGATTTATGATCATGAGTTAAATATTTCTTATGTAAGAATTTTTTGGCATTGTAGTGTATATCCTTAGTGCTCCTTCATAAGGAAATAAAATGGGCATTTAAAGGAGACCGAGAATATATATTGGATTTGAATCTTTTTTGATATTAAATATCTTGAATCATGAATAAGTGATATTTTTATAGCTTGATTTATCGACTTTCATTTTGATAAAATAGTTTTTCCAACATTAGGGAGAGAGAATAAACAAAATAAGCAAGTTGAAAATGTTAAAAAAAAAAAGATTACATAGAATACTTTATTTTTATAGCAATTTGGTACAAAACAATGTGAACTAGAAGTTCATAAGATAATTCATTTACAAGGTATTATAAATCAACTACTAGATGTATTCTCATATCCTAAAAGAGTAAATAAAATGCATGTCCTCATTGAGAATGCTTCTATTAGAATTGACGAGTCTATTAATATTATAGCTAACGAATTTAAAGCACGCCCGAAGCGTGGAAGACCGATCGATTCTAAAGATAAAAATCTCTAAAAGAAAAGAAAAAGATGAAAATATAAAGGATGTAAATATTCACAAAATGGTCCAAGATATTTCTAATAATAGGTTTTCAAAAGAAGTCCAAATGCTTGAGAAAAATCAAGAGATTTTGATAAATTATGTCAATATAGGAAGAAAATAGGATTGAAGAGAAATATTTATTGATAAAATTTTTGTATGCAAAGTTACAATTGGTACTTTGAATGAAAATAAGGATCCCGAGCCTCAATTATTGAAGAATGTTGACATAAAGATGATTGGCTTAAATGAAAAAAGCAATCCAGGTAGAATTATGTTCTGCTACAAAAGAGTAGTTTTTTTAACTCATAGCTAAAACACCTAAAGATGTTAAGCTAGTGGGATACAAATAAGTATTTATGTGAACACGAAATAAGAAAGATGAGATTGTAAGATACAAAGCAAAACTTTCAACACAAGAGTTTTTGGAAAGAA